GTTATGCCAAACTATGTAAAAATCATGTTTCTTTGTGTGTCATTTTATTAATATCAAATGTAATGTAAGCATTAAAAAGTAAACATGATAGAGACAAGGACATTAGCCTATAAGAAGAAAGTTAATGGCCAACCTCATCCCCGGGAAAGTATTTTTGAAAAGACTTCTATGGTAAGAGTTGATTTATTGACTTTGGCTTTCAGCTGGTTTTTCTTCGTTAGAATTTGCAAAATAAGAAGGATTGCATTCTCCAAGGATATGTCTTAATTGACTTAAAATAGGAGTTTGAAGAAAGGGAGTAACTGTCAAGTAACATCATATATTTTAATTAATTTGTTTAATATACTTATAATTTTTTACTTCTTCAATGATTTCATACCAAAATTTGTATGTGTTAGCGAATTTTATAATCTTGGATTGAAGAATTATTCAACTAAACGTAGAGAGTGCTTTGTAGAGAAGAACTTCACATTAAAAAATATATACTAGGATCAAAGTGGTACTCAAAGTGACAGGGACGATACTGGCTGAATGATGTGAAACACGCTCAAAAACAGAATTTTGATGCTCAAGTCAATGAGAAAAAGCTAAAAACTCCTGCTTTCAGAATAAGTGGATTTTCTTCTTTCTATTGGTAATTGATTCTACACGCAAGTATTATATTCATATGTAAAATTACTTAATTATACTCGGGCAGCACTCCACCACACATTTCTCATTAGATAGGTATTATCCAATGTGAAAGCCTTGGACGTTTAAATTTTTGTTTCAATTTCTACACAAGTATCATTCATCTAAAATACATCTAAATAATTGTGCAAAAAAAAAAAAAAAAAAAATAAATAAAATAAAAAGCTCTAAGGTTGGGGTCTGCTAAAGTGGGTTTGAGTTCTACTCAAGCTCAAAAGCTAGCTTAAGGGATGAGAGAGCCCAACCATTTATCTACACTATAAGATCTCACAAACTTAGCGATATGAGACAAATTTAACTTCAATACCCTCCCTCACACTCGGCATGCAAAAGCTAGTTCAAGAAAGGAGAGAGCCAACCTACTTATATACACCATAAGATCTCACTAACTTAGCGGTGTGGGACAAATTAAACTTCAATACCCACTATCATGCTCGATGTGCAAAAGCTAGCTCAAGGGAGGAAGGTGCCCAACCATTTATATACACCATAAGATCTCACTATTCAATACCCTCCCTCATGCTTGGCATACACCATAAGATCTCACTAACTTAGAGGTGTGGGACAAATTCAACTTTAATACTCTCCCTCACACTCAGTGAGCAAAGGCCGGGTGCAAGCCAAGTCCAAACCCATCATTGCATCGAACAAACATGGTTCACGTGGCTTTGATATCATGATAAAATGAGCTTAGGTATAACTTATTCTCAAAAGCTAGCTCAAGGGAGAAGGGAGCCCAACCGCTTGTATACTCCATAACAGCTCACTAACTTGGCGATATGTGACAAATTCAACTTCAATAGGGTCCTCCTAAATAAATAGATATCTTCAATTTATAAGCCTTGAATGAATTCTCTTAACAAAATAGACTTATTTTAAGTGAAGGACACTTGCGGAAACCAAAATGCAATCTCAGATTGCTTGCCTGAACCCCAAAACTCAAATACATGCCACTTGCGTTTGCCTTCTCCCAACTCAAGTACAAGAAGTGAACAATACTGATTTGGTGCTATAGCATTTTTATTAGTGTGCATATCTGCAAACTGCAATTGCATTTTTTTTTTTTCTGAAACATTACCAAATCCAAAAGGGCATCCATATCTTCAGATTTTAACTCAGTACACTAAGATAATGGCAATTATTAGACTGGCCTCTTGCATCCTAGTGCAAATCCGATTAATTTAATTTGCAACTTCTTATAAGTCGTGTCATCGTTTATCATTTAGCTCTGCTGTCAGCTATGTACAATTAATCTTACAGATAATGATCAAGAAATGTTCTTTCATGCATATAGCGTTAAGGTCAAAGAAACAAATATATATTATCTAAGACCCGAATTTAATATATATATATATATTACCAGAAAAAAACTGCATTAACTACAACGGAAACATAGCTGCTTTCCTTTTTTATTTCTCCTCCAAAAGTAGTGTACTAACTGACGTGGTAGAAGGTCTAAACCGAGCACAAGAAAATTTGTATACATACATGTACGTGTATATTAAGAGAATACTACCTTTCTACGGGAGATAATTCAGCATGAAGATTTGAATTGATCCATTCATTTATATGCATTTATATATGATAGAATCTACAAACTAATATAGATAGCTGCAAGTTTTATTTTACTCATAATAGTATTTGGATGCTTATAAGCTAAACGAAAAGGAAAAAAAAAAAAAAGAACTTCCATAAAGAAAGTTACAGCAGGTTAAAGAAGCTTTGAATTAAAAAAAAAAAAAAAAAAAAAAAAAAAGCACTCTAGATGTGAAGTGTTGATGTAAGAATTACACTAACTAGAGTGATCCGATTGACCTTGATGAAACCGAAACCGATGTATACGTGATTAATTAAAATCAGCAATGTAATGAATGTAAAGGTAAAGCAAGTAAAGAACACAAAGAATTTTTAAAGTGGTTCGACATGTTGTAATCTCGAGCCTACGTCCATTGTATTTCTTATGGCTTAGAGAGCTTACAAAAAATAATAATATGCCTAGAATAATTTGCTAACCCCACTTCCATTGTTGGAGAGGGTTTATATACAAGTTTCTTACAAAGAAAATGGCGAAATTAAAAGAATTACAATCAAGATGAAAGTGCAGCTACGATATTCTTGCAATTGAGCGATAAGGTCACGCTATCATTATTGTTGATCTGATCTCTTCCAAAATATTCGGGATCTGAGCTTATCTGTGATCTGTTTGAACAACTGTCATGATTGGTCACAAATAGCTTATGTTGGGTCTAGCTATATCTCGACGAGCTTATACTGGGTCAGACAAGTATTGAGATGAGCTGATTCTGAGTCAAACTATAACCCCGGGAGACTTTGACTTCTCCGAGCTTAATAGAAAAATCACACATAACATGAAGTATTCTGATATTATTGATGTAACTACAAAATGGTTGATGTAACCACATAGTATTCTGTTTTTGTTTTGTCCTGTTTTTATTTTATCAGGCTGAGTACTCCGAGTATACTGTTCTTCCCTGCTCTATTTATGTGTTATCAGTTTCAGTTTTAGGTTTTTTAAACTAGCTAATCTTGTGTGAGGTTATTTAAATTTTAATGGAGCTGAAACTCGTGATCAAGAAATCAGATTAAACATCCTCTGTTGTCTTCTTCGTTTTTCTACATAAATTATCTATATTTTGTATTTATGTTGATAAGATTCAAAGGTTGCATATTAAACCTCTATAATTCAACAGAAGTTGAATTTTCCACAACGTGTTGTAGATAATTCGTCCTCGGAAGAACCGAAGAAAATGGCTCATGAAGTTGAAAGGTACACAAGTATAAATAAAATGAGACCCGGAACAAGCTATTGACTATCAACTCAAAGTCAATGGTAAAAAACAAAAAAAATTGTGGAACTTGAACAACTAAACAAGATCAAATTGTTCAGGAATGCAACTACCTTTTGATAATTTGCCTCATGCAATGGTACATTTCTTCTGTTTTCTGAGAAAAATCAGACTCTCTAAATGAAAAAGTAAAAGTTAGATCAAGAACTTCCAAAGGGAAATTTAGAGCAGGTTAATAAAGCCTATTCAAAGTATCATTTTAGAAGTATATATTAACATTAGTGACGTAATCACAGAGTAGTCTGTTCTGCTTTCTTCTGTTTATATTTTATCAGGCACAAAGAACAGAGCACTCTGTTCTGCTCTGATCTGCATTGATTAAATAGCATAATTTGAAGCATTTCAACTAAAATGTCGGCATCAGACTACCATACATTGCATATTTGTTAATTATGGAGAAGCCAATTGTATTTTAGACCATATTTTCAACATGTTTACATTATGACCACTTGTCGTGGATTAGCCAATAACAGATTTTAGAGCTTATAAGAGAATTTTTCTCCTCAAGGTTTGAGGAAAGTACAAACACACCCAAGGATTTCAGATAGTAACAAATACACCAAAAAAAAATTGATTACTCTACCATATAAACACTATAATACCCTTTGTCTAATTATATATTCTTAAGTTTTTTTTTTTTTTTCAATTTTTATTTATTTAAAATAAAAATTGAAGAAATAAAAACTGAAAATAATCTGAAACTTTATTTCAAAAGGACTTTAGTATTCTTGATCTTATTATACTTCACTCTCCCATTTTATTTTATTCAATTTTTAGTATGTAATTTAATTAAATTTACGGTTTATTATTAGATAAAAGGTACTATGGTAAAGTAATCAGTTTTCTGGATGCATATCCTAAACCCTTGGGTGTGTTTGGTACTTTCATCAAACCCTGAGGAGGAATTTATTATAAATCCATATTTTGATGAGTGTACCAGATTACTCAGTACTGCAAACTTCATTCTTTGAACCATTTTCGTGCATTTGAGTAATGCCATGTAAAAGAAAAAACCAGTGATACCATTGTTTGGAAACCATTTCTTGTTTCATTAGAGTTTAGAGCTTTTCTTCTTCCTCTAGGTAGTTACTAGGAGATATAGATATTTTAAGTAAATATTCATAGGTGCAAACCCGGTTATGAATATTTATTTAAAAAAAAAAAAAAAAAGCCCTTAATCAATCCTATGCATTCCAGGATAACTAGTAATGCTAATCTGTGGAGGAATTGAAGGTCAAACACCAAATAATGCCGTTTTCTTTTCTGTTCTGCTTCAACAACTGCAGCAGCTCTATTTCATATGCTAATGTATGTTACACAAAGTAGAACATCGCTGCCTTATTTCTTTATGTTTCTTCAAGTACACAAGAACATTGGTCCAAGACCGGTTACATGTATGAAAATATATATGCATGGTTAAGTGGGATACATATAGTAAAAGTACTACCTTGGTATGGGAGATAATTCAGTATCGACATTCAAATTCATCGATAACATAGAATCTCTTGATTTGGCATCCTTGCCTATCTTCTTGCGAGCTACCTCCATTGCTAAAGACTCATTCAGTTCCACCGCTACCTGATTCATGGTTGGTCTTTTGGCAGAAGTTGGAGAAACACAAGTCATTGCTACTTCTACAGCTTTCCAGACAGAGTTTGTCTTAAAATCTCTATATAGTCTCGGATCAACAATATTTGCAATATCCCCCTTGGAAAGCATGAAACTCACCCACTGACTTATATGAGTCTTCTCAAGCGTATTTTCAATGACAAGTTTACTTGTTATTATCTCCAAGAGAACCACTCCAAAACTATACACATCACTCTTTTCAGTTAATCTGTTTGATATATAGTATCTGCAGGGGGGAAAAAATAGACTCAGTTTGGTTTAATTTCCAATATATCATGAGACTAGGTTTCCTTCATACAATGATTGTGCAATTTGACATTACAAGGTAATTCCTGTTAGAGTCATGAAAGTGACTCTATTTTGGTGATAAAAATACCCATGTGTGATTAAATTGAAGTATATTGAGACAATTAAAGAATTTATAAATTTATTCACGAAAATCGTTTCCTAATATTTTTCTTATGAATTTAACGTGTTTGGAATGATTTTGGAAAGTATATGAGTTGATATTGGGTTGTGGTTTATGGATTAAGGGTGATTCTGTCTCATTTATGCTGTTTAGGGGGTAAAATGTCCTGTTTTAAGGGGCTGATTTTGTCACTTTTCAATTGTGTAGGGACTAATCTAAAATTTTGCAATTTGTTCTATAAAACAAAAAGTGCAGATCGTGTGAACAGGAGGCTGCCATCCAGAAAGTTTTCCGGCGACCCTTCGTCTTCCACCTCTGGTGACTCTTCGGCTTCCTCGACCACAGATCACCGTCATCCCATCGTCCCGGACCACCACCGCGAAACACGGAAGCTGCCGCGACGTTTCGTCTTCCCTCCACCACGTCGTTTCGTCTTCCCTCCACCACGTCGTTTCGTCTTCCTAGCCACTTTTGGCCATTTTCCGGCGACGATTCGGCTCCCCAAGGGTCGATCCACCTTCCCCACAGCCAGATCTACACTTCCCTTGCTTCAGCCGCCGCGAAAACCGCCGGAATCCGTGATTTAGCCACCGCGACTCTTCATCTTCCAGGCCAGATCCTGCTCATTTCCGGCAACTTCTCACCTCCCCAGGACCTGATCTGAACTCCCCATCACCAGAGCTTTCCATCGGTACCTTCGGATCCCATTTCCGCCACCGTTTTTCGGAGACCCGCTGGAAAATTAACGTTTTCCGGCAAACCGCGGCTGTTCGTATTCCGGGCTGTCCGTTGGTCGTTTGCAGCCCTTCTTCGCATCATATCACTGTCGGTTACCTCCTCTCTGCCATGGTCAGCTCCGTTTCCACCGTTTCGGCCTCCGTCATCACCACCATGAGCGGCTAAGCTCCCGGTTGTCTGTTACGGCATAGGCGAGATCGGGATTGACTCCACGACTCTCCTCATCAGCTCTCGACTAGTTGGATGAGCCCGATTATAGGACATTTGGTAGTATTGTGCTTCGGATTATATTTGTTTTCGTTTCATGATTGATTTCGATACTTTAATATTATTTGAGCATAATTTGTGATGAATATTGTTGTCCTTATGATTTAATGTTTTCATAGAACTTGCTGAATGAAAACGTTGGTTTGGAATAATAAATGATGAATATTGCTTTCATTACTTCGCATCGATTGTATTGATTTGTTCTCGGATTTAGTTTAATTTCTACTATTGTTGCTTTTATTGTGATTGGTTGATTGGATATCACGTGTTGACAATTGTATTATTAATCGGGTACCAACTAGTGGTTTTGCCTTGTAGCGTTTATCGACGTTCAATGATAGTCTTTACCCATCAACTTGAGTGATCGGGTGAGACAGGATAGATTATACCTAGAGTGTCGAGAAACCATTCATTGATTTACCTTGCCTTGTAGGTTTAGGGGATCGTAGAGGTGGAGGAGAATTGTGTGAGTCGGTCTCTGTCGAACCAAAACCGTAACGGCAACATTTTTATTATTAATCTTTATTTGTTTTAATTTCACTATTTCATTATTTGCATCTAGTTTATTTGTTTCACTAATCCATTGCCAATTTCATTTCCGCTACTTAAATACATTAGGTTGTTATCTTGCTCCCTGTGGATTCGATCTTGCTTACCCTGCTCCGGTATTTAGGTTTATTTTTTAGACTGTGACGATCGGTCTAACAAAATTTTGGCGCCGTTGCCGGGAGCAACGTGCTTTTGACTTTGTTGTTTTGGGTATTTATTAGTTTTTATTCTAGGTTTATTTTAGTCTTTGTTGTTTTGTTGTTTTGTTTGTGTTATTTTTTCTTTCTTGTGATTATTTGTTTGGGTGAATTGTTTAATATTTGTGTCCCGTTGTGTTTGTCTCTTTGCATTTTTAGTTAATTATTTTCTTTTTAGGTTGTTTGCGTAATTTCATTTTTACTTTGTTCTATTTTGTTTTCATTTTATTTTCATTGGAATAGTTTCATTTGTGTTTGTTTTTGTTTTGCAGGAAAATTGCAATTGGGAAAATGTAACGCCCCACCTGAGTCGTAGTTATTGTTTCTTCTTTCGCTCTTATTTGAGTTGGTTTGGTATATTGTTTGATTGAGTGTTGTGTTGAATGCTTGCCCTGAAATTGGTTGAAAATAAAGAAGTTCATTGTGCCAAGCTTCGCCGGGCGAAGAAGAATCTTCGCCGCGGCGAAGATGTTGAACCCACGGGAAACTCTCTGGACAGTTTCACCGCGGCGACAGAAGCTTCTTCGCCGCGGCGACAGGCCGACCAAAATGTTTGTTAAGTTTTAGATATTTTCTTCCCTAAGGGCAATTTGACCATTCTACCCCTAATTAGCAGGAAAAGTGGGGAGTTAATTATAAGGATTTTTCATGATATGTGGATATGGGGTGTTGTATGTAATGAATCAAGGATAGATAGAATTCCAAAGAAGTAAGAGCAAAATGGGAATGCTTGGGTATAAATTTCATTAAAAGGAATTAAGAGTTAGCAAACCCCTCATTCTTCTTCTCAAAACGCAACTCTCCACTCTTTTTTTCCTCTCTCAACTTCTCTTTCTTTTGATCAGGAGTTCCAGGGGTTTTTGAAGTGATTTGGGGTAGAAAATCACCTAAGGCTTCCGAAGGTAAGGATTCTTACTTTGGTTGTGAACTTTATGAGTTTATAGCTTATATGAAGTTTGAGGGTTTTTGTTCTTTTGGTTAGAGTAGAGAAAAAGTCAAGCAAACCAAGTGAAAGGAAGAGTTGGTGAAGTCTCTCCATAACAAGGTAAGTAAATCCAACTCAAGTTGAGATTTAAGAATTTTCTTGATTAAGGTTTTGATAGAATGATATGTATTGTGATATACATGTGATATGCCATGTGGAGGCTTAAAAGAGATTTCTATGCCTTGTGATTGTTTATACCTTTCAATATAAGAATGAGCTGTGAGTTGGAAAGGTAGTTTGAGATGGAATTGAAGGGTATTGTGAACCCTTTTTGAGTGTTTTTTATTTGGCAGGTTTTGTGGTTATGTGAAGGGGTTTCTCCCATTTTGGATGGTTAGAAAAGTTTTAGAATCATTGCTATATTAGATTTTTATAATGCACTGAGTTGTTTCATGAAATGCCTAATAGAGGTTTGAGTATGAGTAGTGAACCTTAATTCTTGCAACATTGCATGTTGGTTCTCATAAGTGCATTATGGAGATGAACCATCCATGGCACTAATTGTGCTTGAAAAGTGACATAAGAAAGTGTAGGAAACTTGTGTATGGAATTACTCTATGAGTAGAGAGCTTGGTGAATGCAACTACTCTAAGGATAGAGATGATGAAAATGCTAGAATAGAGTAAATGAAGTGTAGAGAGGGGTTGATGCTTTGTGATCATCACCCAACAGTTTTGGGAATCGGTGTGATGCTGGTGATCACCCCCAAATAGCCCTTAGATGGGTCGATGCTTTGTGATCGTCACCTGATTAGATAGTGGTGTGGATGCTTTGTGATCCCCCCCGGTTAGTCATAGAGAAAGGGTTGATGCTTTGTGATCATCATCCGACATTTATAGAGGTGGTTATGCTTTGTGATCATCACCCAAGTAAATAGAGACGGTTAATGCTTGGTGATCGTTACCCAAAAGTCATGAGAAACGGGTAGGGCAGGTGGTCTCCACCCTAGTTATAAAAACCGAGTAGGTGCTTTGTGATCCCCACTCGGTTCACTAAGAACGGGGTACTGTGTGAATTCCACCCGATAGTCTGGAGAGTGAGATGGTGCTGTGTGGGCGCCATCCGGCCGTGCCTCCGGTAAGATAGGCCATGACGTTTAGTAAACAGAATAGAATCAGAAATAGTATAAGGAAAGAATAAGGTAATACATACGGGGACAGACAGATAGAGGGTTTTACTTATTGAGCATTATTTTGTGCTCACCCCGTTATTTTCCTTTGTGGATGCAGGATCTAGGTGTTGATGCAGTCGGAGGGCGTCGGCAAGCGAGGAGCAATGCTACATTGTTCCCCTGTTTTGTCTTTTAAAATGACTTTTTGTAACAATACCTTTGTGTATAAAAGACATATGACTATAATGAAAGAAAGTTTTGGGCCCAATTTTCTATTGTTATTATGCATGCATTTTACTAGTTTTCAGCGTTGTTACAGAAAACGCTTCAGCATGTCGTGAGCATTGAAGATCCTGCACGTCCCGATTGTGAAATTCTCTTACCTTTGATTTTTGTCCTTAGTATTATATTCTTTTAGGTTGCATTGATAAATTTAGTTTTGATTAACATTTTGTTGTGGGAAATTTCATTGAGTATAGTTTCGTTAGATTTTAGATTTGTTTTAGTTTGTTTCGTGTGCTTAGTAAAATTTGTTTCTTAGGTTTTGCATTTAGTTAATTTTCTTTGACATGTTGCTGCGTTGCTTGTTGAGCCTTTTGTGTGTTTGGTTGATGAATGCAAACTAGAAGGTCTTTTACACGAAGAGTTATTACCTTTGAATCTTGAAATTGAACGCACTTGTAAAAGAATAGAAACACAGCACGTGATGGCTGACCAGGAAACCCGCACATGTGCCCCTTAGCTAACATTTCGCACCCCCACCTACACTTCAGCCTCATGTATCCATATCCCCATGTCCAGACACAGCACTATGAGATCAAAACTAGTGTCATCCAATTGTTGCCAAATTTATATGGGAATTTAAATGAGGAGCCATACAAACACTTAGATGAATTTTTAGAGGTTTGCTCCACATTTAGACTTCAACATGTGAATGAAGATGTCGTGCGCT